GAGGGTGTGTTCCAACTATAGGGGGATCACACTCCTCAGCCTCCCCGGGAAAGTCTATGCCAGGGTACTGGAGAGGAGAATTTGACCGATAGTCGAACCTCGGATTCAGGAGGAACAATGCGGTTTTCGTCCTGGCCGTGGAACACTGGACCAGCTCTATACCCTCTTCAGGGTGGCGGAGGGTTCATGGGAGTTTGCCCAACCAGTCCACATGTGCTTCGCGGATCTGGAGAAGGCATTCGACCGTGTCCCTCGCAGCGCCCTGTGGGGGGCATTCCCCCGGAGGAGCTGGAGGAAGTGTCTGGAGAGAGGGAAGTCTGGGCATCTTTGCTTAGACTGCTGCCCCCGTGACCCGGTCCAGGATAAGCGGAGGAAAATGGATGGATGGATGGACAGGACCAGATTGCACTGTAAACAGAACCAGTTGCTGGTGGTAACACCAGCACTGAGGAGCTGCCTTCAGCTGCTGGTCTCACATGAGAATAATTGACTTATTGATTGGGGCATATGATAATCAACTCAGTGCTTAATGGGCTGTGTATGGATTTATGGATAATGGCTCAATAGTCAAAAATCTCCATTGGTCCATACCTTCATAGTTTGAGGTATAAGATTACACTCAGGGTTATCATGATCACCTAAACGTGGCTGACATGACCCTGAGGGAGCAGAGAGGCAAGACAAAGATGAATTTTAATCTGTTTTATTAACCAACAGACTCTCTGACTGGTGGATTTTTGTCTGTTTGTTCTCAGGTTATTCATCTCAGAAATGGTTCACTTGATTAATCTATGCTGTGTTTCTATGGTATTCTGAGACGGCATGAAAGCTCAAAGGGATTGGTTAGTGTTAACTCCTTGCTGCTCTGTCTGAGGTCACTCACACACCCCAAACCTGCCATCCAAGATGTTTTGTAACACTCTGGCCTGTACTGATGGATGACAAAAAAATCATCCTCTTCCTGTAATGAGTTCTGGGATAATGGAGGGCGGCTGAGTAAAAGCTCTCGGTCAGTTGTTGGCAAGTCTAGAACCACTGGATCCTTCCAGCCCACCAGAGTGAGTTCTACCATTGCCAAACACTGTGGGAGAGCGTGCCAGTCACCACCACCAGATCTGGGTGATGACTGGGATTCAGGTTACACGGGATGGCGTCTCTGAGATAGAGCATGGGCCTCCATGGCAACCAGTGATATATGAGAAGGATGATGCAATTGACCAGCTCCATAACTCGTCCTGCACAGCCCTCCCTCTCCCCTCTCTCTGTGTCTCTTTCACAAAAAGATAAACACCGGAGATGCCAGAATATATATGAACAGCTGAGTGACTGTCTTGTCCTATAATGGCACTACACATGATTGCCCAAACAATAAGAAGCAAAGCAAAAATGTGCTAGTGCCAAAATGGGCAAAGAAGATGTAAACATGTTAGATACAACACTTGGTTAAAGGCAGAAATATAAGGGACACGGGCAGTGTGGATCTGTCTCTACTCTGTTTATGGCCCTATGGTAATTCACTGATGTCCTGCTGTGACAGTGAATTCTACCAGTGCCATACACAGAATAGGAGGAGATATAAGTGGTTCCATAATCAACATTAGCAGAGCAGTGACAGCTACACACAGCTGTATCAAAATCTGGAAATCTTTTTTTCCAGATATGAATGTGTGCAACCTGCTACTTCATGATCAGGCTCTGTTGTTTGAGGAGTCTTGCCATAATGCTCAAGTGCAGAAAGGACATAAACAGACAATATGCAATTCAACAGTGTCCTCACCTCAGTTCACCCAGTTTCTTCACAGAAATAAGATGTTAGCTATATCCTTTTAAAAATTACCATTGGATTATTGTTGGGTTTAGTGTTTTGGAACATTTGGAGCCTCCATGAGAGCCACACTGAGCTGGTCTGCTGCTCAGATTGATTCTGGCTGTAGGGAATGATGTGCTAAGTGATTTTTGAGACGCTCCAAATAGGTCCCAGAGTAGGGCTCATCTTGCTGTTTCCGGGAGAGATCGATAGTGTAAAAAGCTTGAGAGAGAGAGAGAGACAGACAGAAGAGGGGGGGAGTGGGGGGGTCAGAAGTATACAGAAGTTGCTGGCCTGAATTGCATGTTTTTAGTTCCTCTTCATATCTTGGTAACTATTACTAAAGAGTAACAATTACATTCTCATTTGCGATGAGGACTAGTCCCTAACATATCTGACAGAGCTAATGGAAGTTAAAGAAGTGAACAGAATATATTTATATATTCCTATTATAATCAAGGTTGTAGTGAAGGATACAGTAGCAAGTAAACTTAAAACAAAGGCATTCACTCATCATTTTCACAGAGAAAGTATTATTTTTTGTATTTGAATGTTCAACTAAAGGTGATAACTGTCCAATTCTTAATTTCCACATACTGATCATAATAGCATAAATGGTACCCTGGTCATTCTCATTTAGGGACTGCATGCATTTTCCAAAACATTGTGCAGGCTTCTATTCGTGCATATAGCAGAGGCCTGTGTTTTTCCAGATACAGTGGGCTTCTTACCTTAAAAAGCAGATCTTATATCCTTACTGCGCACAACCACACTTTGGTTAGAAAAAGACCAGAAGAAACTTCTTAATTAGACCAAGCCTTAGAATTTCTTCACAACCAGACACCCGGTCTTTTAATCATACAAAGATGAAACCATTGCCCAGTGACGGCCATTCATCTGGATTAACTGGGCTGCATGCTGGAGGAAGGCTGACTTTTTCACAGACACTTCTTCAGTGCTCTGGTCCACACAGCGTCGGTTTCCTCTCCCCGTCTGTCCGCTCCTCGTGGCTCCCTGCTCGTTTGAGCTGTATGGCCCGGGATTTTTTAGTGAACAGGTAATGAGTTCGTAAGCATCTTAACCCAATGGCGGTATAGTAATCCACGCCGCCTTCCTCTCTCTCCTTCTGCCGCCTCTACACGCAGGCCTGCAGGACATTTCATCTGCGCCTTTTACGCACAGGACGCGCACTGCAGTGGCAATGATGAGAGACACTGGAAAACCGGTTGATGGTTACTTGAATGCTGATCACATCAGTTTTACTCCAAACAAAACAAGGATTATGGTCAAGTACAAATAAATCATTAATTTTATATTACAACAGCCTGAAATAAGTAATCAAGTAATACTTAAGATCTAAGATTAAAAACTCTAGCTTTCATGTACTCTGCCATTTCTAGTCATCTGCCATTCTGACTACACACTTTACATGCTACGTAAAAACCCCAGTGTTTGTTAACGGACATACCAGCATCCACGGGTGTGGCATCCTGCTGCAGCCAGGCCCGAAGCTTCGCGCTTTCTCTCTCTCATCCCTGCTCGGGACTAAAAGTTTCTCCGAGCTCAGGCCACACCGACTCCTCGTTATATACGGGCACCCAAAGGTCCCTCGGGGACTCATTTACCTGCTGTCAGTGATTATTAGATAAATTGTAGGTGGAAGAAGAAGCATCATTCTTTCAGCTGATGTGAATCCACGAGATCGGGATAGGACAGGTTTGAGTTACGGCTCTTTCGAACTTGACGCTGAAATCCAGCAGTGCAGACTTTGTCCTGTCCATACATTATGAAGGATGCGCGCACCCGGCCAGTACTGTCTCATCGCCCTTTGCACTCCTGCTGCTCGCCTCGCTCTGAAACAACTTTAGCTACCGATCACACACAGGAGGCTACATATCATTCTTTTTTAACTGATTATTCTATTACTCACGAAACTCACCGTTGCTCTGTAGCGGATTGCAGTTGTTGAACTTAAAAAGTAGCTCCACGCACCTGTCAGTGATTATCGTCAGTTTAAGTAACTAACATAGGTACAGACAATAATTAGCCGTCAAGTTTCTATAATTGATACCTCATTAAAGTTGCTGTAAGTTTTAGCATAGTGTGAAAGTATGTTCATAGTGTCTGGAGACATGGATAGAAACAATGGGGCCCTGGGCACAGACCAGTAAAAGCTCCCTTCCCCTTTTTACATAATAGAAAGCCCTCCACTGAAAGAGACATAAAGGACAGGTAGTCTTTTGTCACTTTATGATCATTTTACTTCTTGTTTGTTTTACTCTCCAACAAGATAAGTGAAACAGAGGTTCAGGGGCCCCCTGACACAGATGTCTCATAGAGCTGCTCGTTAACCAATCTATGCATTCAACAGGCCTAGATTTATTGAAGCACATTTTAAATGTCTTTCATTTATGAGAACATTACTCCAGCCCAGCAAGGCATTTTAAAGAACTGTTAGTTGTTTGTTAATCCTCGTCTAAATAGAACTTGGCTCTCTGAAGTGCCAGTATAAGTGTGAACAACAAAAGTGTAAAATCTTCAGTCAACCTATCAGTGTGAAATGAAGTAGCTGAAAAAAACATCTGTAGCCTACTTAATACTAAGTAATGGGTTTAAAAAATGGACATATTTCACCCAAAGCAATACCTCATAAATAATGATATATGGTGGTTTGAGGGTTGTTGTTTTTTTACATTGCTTTCCCACCATGACTTTTTTCTTAAAATGCCATGCAAAAATACATTCTAAGACAGAGCTGCAGTCATTGTAAAGACAGTTTTAATTCCAGAAATTAACTGGAATATTTAACCCACTCATAAATATTTCTTTAAAAACACATTTCTAAGAATTTTCTCAATTCTTCTTATACTCTGAGCTTGAAGACAGATAGGAAAACAAGTTTACAATAATGTAATATCACTCTAGTAAAAGAGCTGATGATCCAAAATACCCAGGAAAAATAATTACCATGATCAGAAGCTTGATCTGCGTTACTGAAGCGTGGTGGTACCCTCCAGCCAAATGTTGATGTTGAAACAGGAACCCTGAATATACTAAAGAAGCTGTATGACCACACAACTATGAATATTTCATAGGATCATTAGTCAGCCTAGCATCTCAGCACAGACGCACAGTGCAGCCCTTCCATTTACTCAGTTACTTATTTAAAATGATCCACAAAATGAGAAAATGGAGATAATTCTACCAATTCCAAATCTGGATTTAAATGCTGTTTGGGTCCCTTTAAAACCTTTTTAGAAGAATAACGTGGAAAAAACAGCTTTAAAGAGTTAGGACTAAATATGCTCGTAGTAAGTCACACATACATACATACATACATACATATGTTAAAACAGTAGAAATGGGATTTTTGAAAACGTGGGAAAAACCATAAATGAAGACTTGTATGAAAACTAAGTTGTGAAGACCACAGCCTCACACACATAGGACTGCCACCTAGTGGACAGAGTCAGACATTATAATCATTCAGTCAGCGGGAAACTCTCCAGAATAACACCATTTGGCTCATGTATGCGCCTTGAAAATACCTCTACGACTAGTCTTAAGGCTAAAGAAAATCAGGTTCAACAAATAAGCCATTTTGAATAAAGCTAATATTTGAAAACAAAAGGCAAACACATACACTCTTTTCATTACCTGAGGTAATCTGAGACTGCCATACACAGAAGCATAATACTGACATAGTGCATATATATTTATTGTTGTTTATTTCTTTCTTCACGGTACAAGGGAAGCACATTTATTCATTTTTTGCCTTTAAAAAAAATCAGGAATATCTCAATTTGTATCCTGGATATAGGGCTTAAAAGGAAAATAAAAACATTCAAACAAATTATAGGCATCAAATATACGTCTTGTTAATTAAAAAAATCAAAACAAAAACCAATACACTGATGAATCCAGATGATGACAAATAAGGTTGGACGTTTTTGTTGCTAATGACAACTGACCGTGATATCATGTTGTCTTAAGATAAATATTTGGTTACCAAGACCACTTGGAGTCAATTTAACTAGGCTATTCAACAAATACTTTTTCTAATGCCATGTCAAAAACTATGAGAAGCTAGTTTTGTTAACCTATGTTATTCTCAAACAAAGATGAACCCTCTTGCAAGACACAATGGAAGAGATTCTGATTTTATTTTTTTATTCTAAATTATACATTTAACAGTAAACTGTCACTTCTCTGGTAACGCCGCGTCTGCACAGGTGCCAACAGGTAAACCAGAACAAAAGCTCTTAATCTGTCCACTGAAGAAGAAGAGGAAAAAAAGAAGAAGCCTCTGTGTGAGCTTACATCTTAACTCAACTGAGATGGCCTCTCAAGAGTTCTACCCCTTTGGGGCCATTCTTTGATTTCTGTTCTCACCTAATCTCAGTGTAAAGTCCTTCTCTTCAAATCCAGTCTGAGGAGGATCTCCTATTTTTGGGGTTTTTTTGTGGGGGTATATATTAATAAAACTAAGCTTGTAGATCTGGTAGATTTTGGTCCCGCCATTTTGGAAAACAACAGGCCGTCAACAGCGTAACAAAAGTAAATGCAACAGTGTTGAAAGGCTGAAACAAAGAGCACTTCTGTCTAGCAACATAAATGATCTCTGATGCTTAAGAAGGGAGTGCAGGGGTGCAACATACAGTATCTTTGCAGGATTTTGATTCAACAAAGAGTCATCCCACAGACAAAGACATTAATTCTCCTCATCTCTACAGGACAATTAGTCTTTAAACTAGTGTGTTATATAAGCATTAAACCATACATTATGATAGGATTCACCATCTGCAAAAAACTAACTATCCCTACGCAAGTCAAACACCTATTATAGTTCAACACAAGCAATAGGCAAAGTTAAGAAGTTCAACAATTCAACAAGAACCTGGATAATTCCACCAAATCCCATCCGGCTCACAGAGGCCCTGCACACACATTTCCTCTCCACATCTACAGCTCCACAAAGCCCTACACAAACTTTACTTCTGTGTCATGCCACAATATACAAAGATTCTCAGAGAATGACAAACACTTTCCTAAAACGGAGAGAGGAGGAGGAGGGTGCTGAAGACGAGAAGAATCAGGACTGTGAACTTTCTCCTCCTCTTCTGCTGAGCATCAGGGGTCAGCACGACACAGATTATCAATACACCATGATTCTCCGTGGGTTACATTCATGCATGCACACAGACGCGGGTGCACACATGCTGTGGCTTTGTCATGGTCGATGCGTTTGGTTGCTGGGCAGTGTGATGTGTCAGCTGGTCTGCACAGAGGGCAGTCCTGTCAGAGAGCCACATCAGTCTGGATGTGATGAACACATGACCGCACTGTGGCCTTCAGCTTCTCGAGTGATGACTGTGTCCAAAAAAATGAGAAGTGACACACACAAAAAAAAAAAAACTGGGGGTGGGGTGGGTCCACACTCTTTTTATGTTGAGACTGCTCAGAATTCGTGGACTGTTGTCCTGCAGTCTTTGTCAGCAAGGAAAAGACGCCCGATGATGCAGTAACATGCTGAATAACGACTACAAAAAACAATTTGTTACAACAGAGAAGGTGGTGAGGTGTAGCTTGTGGGTCCAAATATAAAACTGAGTGTAAACAGTTTAGTTTCAGTGATGTCCTCCTGCCTCCTGCACTGGTCTCACTGCTCAGTTTAGACTTACTCAAGCAGTGCGAGAGAGAGCCTTCTGATCTACACAGGCTCTGTCAGGGTGAAGAAGGGCCGGTGGTCACGAATTCCTAAATAAGGATTAATATTCTGCAATATCATACTGCAAATCCTTGTGTAGCAATAAAAATCCTTGTGTTTCTGTAAAAAAATTGTCTTGTTTAAATATGAATATAGTACTGAGTTTTTGCTCTTTAGGTCTGTTGTGAGGTGAAGGGAGACAGGATCTCACCCTTCACTACAACTCCATGTCCTGAGCCTCATCCTCTGAAAAGTCTGACATGGAGCTCTCAGAAGATGAGTCACCCCCTCCCTCCTCCTGCTCCTTCAGAGCCTCTTCTGTGGCATACTTCTGGATGTACTCTGAAAGACAAGGGAGAGGGATGGGTGACTGAGTCCATGTGACATGCACAGCAACAACATTTTCACTCATCAACAGAGGAGTTCAGATGAATTCCTCTGGAACTCTGCTCTGGATCAAACTTACTCAGTTTACAGCAAACCACTTGAATCTTAAGGTCCACTTACTTATTTAGCTTTCAAATGTGTCACATAGTCTAGTAGTCATAGTCTGCTTCTACAATGGTTTAATGGCACCTGAGAGGAAAATTAGAACCACCAACTGTTTATTTTGATGAATCAACAACTAATATTTGCAAAGCAGTAGTGGAGCGAAACAGATATTAAATTTCTGCTGCAGATTTTCTGGAAATTAAAATGAAATTAGCTGTCCATTTATAGTAGATGGGTTTTTGAGCTACAATTGAAAGCACCATAAAAAGTGAGTAGAAGATTGTTTTGTTAACTAGTTTTACAAAATATGGTCCTTATCAATAAATATCTACTGATAATAAGTAAAGTGTAAAGTTTTGTTGAGTAATAACCTCTTTCCATTAATATTTAGAATGTTAATGGCACTGTGCATTTTGTCTCGTCCTATCAACACCGGAGAAAACCCCCTAATTTCAATTATTGGAAATGCACACCTTGACTCCAAGTTGTAGCCGTGTCTGACAGAACTCATGATGACATTTGGACTTTACAGTGTTTGAACCCTTTTAGCTAAAATATCCACAGTAACTCCAAAGATTACAGTTGCATTCTAGGATTCAACAAGGTCCTAATTTTAAATGTACCCAATGTAGAAATATTAAGAAGAACAGGGTACCCTACAGCATGGCCCTTAAGACAGAAGAGTTGCAACATAGAGAGGTAAAAAAAAAAAAAAGGCAGATCACATGACTCATGTAGCTTCAAATAGTTCCAGTGAATTAAGATCTATTGTTTTCTGTAGCAAATAGAGGGATTTATCAACAATTAATATTTTTATGACGGCAGATCACATGTTGTAGATAGCTCAGCTAGTTAGCTTGGTACCGAATTATTAAAGTGACCCAATATTTGAGACAGACAGTCAAAAAGGTTCTAAAACATGTTTTGACACATATGTGGCTAACTTAAAATATCACAAGTATAATTATTGCTATTGATTTCAACTTTTTACTTTGGAAGAGAGCAGCCAAATCAATGCAACTATAATCTTAATAATAATTTTTAATCTCAAAATCTGATCCACCTCTTCAGATTTTCCAGTGTGCTACCTTTGATCTTGTGTTTATAATCCTCTGGTCGGTGCAGGTACATAGCGGCTGCGTCCCCATTCAGAGGGTCAATAGGGTTGGGGTAGGCAAGCAGTTGAGGGAGGAAGGACTCAAAGATGTTGGTGAGGTCTGGTGGATGTGGGAAGAACAATCAGTCACTACACAGAATGGCAAACCTACTGTACAAAGAAGAGCCAACAAGCTGAACAAGCTCTCATTAGTCCAACCTGGTGTCATTCATTGGTGTCATGTGCACAGCTACAACACTGTCCACTTAGAGACTGTTAAAACAAACTTTTTTCAAATGCAGGTACTCCTCAGACACAAATGGATGTCAGCCTATTTTCAGGTGCAAGTAAAAAAATAAAAAGGAAGCTGAAAATGTACATAAACATTTTTTGGGTAGTTCTACAGCTTGTAGAAAAAAGCTATGTAACAAAGTGCATCAATCTATTTTGTATCTTTAGGGCATTTTGAAGATTGGGGGGGTGAACATCAATTAGACATGATGAAACTCACTGAATTCAATATAATGTTTTCAATGACACAAAATTTTAATGCTATTTAATCAGCTATGTTTTCAAGGTAGCTGACTATTGTGCCATTTGTGCAATGTTAGGTCTGTTAGTCATCACAGCTAAAGATTAAAATCTGTGCAAAGTGCTCGTCACATCACCCACACAAAACATGCTGCTGGTCAAGGCGTTTTCACATACACAACATGTCTCAAAACAAACAGTTCTGGAATTAAGGGAACACTTATCACTCATCCCAGTATAACACCGAGTCAGTTAAACTTCAGGGGTATCAATTTGTCCATTTAGGAGGCACGAGTGATTGTGATTCTGTTTCACCAGCTTTGGTGCAAATGAAAGTGACAGCAGGTTCAAAGGAGAGGCCAAAGCAAGACAACCCCTAAAAAGGGAATGGTTTTGCATGTGGTGGCCACATCCAAATGCCATTACACCAGGAGAGCTGGACAGAGCCGTAGAAGGGCAACAGCCCAGCAACAGGACTGGTATTAGGGCTATGTACTGGCAAGAATCTGGAGATATGATACGTATCACGATACAAGGATTATGATTTGATATACTGCAATATATTACAATACAGTACACAATGTGATATATTGCGATTTAAAAAAAATCTAATTAAAAAAACTGTCAAAAAATAGGCAACACAAGAACATATGCATAAAATCTCCTGTAAGAAAAAAAAAAGTTAACTTTTTTATGCAATCAGAACAGTGATCTGCATTTGTCACAGTTCCTGTAACATCCAAAGCCATAGCACTACTTGGCATGTGAACTATTTCTTAAAAATCAACAGTCTTTTGAGAGTTGATGCAGTATTGCAAAGTGTAATATCACGAGGAGCACTGCGAGGGCCCTACAAAATGACCTCCAGCAGCTACTGGTGTGCACGTTTATGGCCAAACTGTCAGAAACATAACGGTGGCATGAGGGCCCAATGGCCTCTAATACAACCTGTGTGTTTATAATATGCTAATCATAAACACACAGGTCTGAAGTGTAAATCAAAATCTGGGTAATACTGATAAAACTTTATGTTCATTGTAACAGTCGCTTAAACAGAAACAGTTAGACATATCCCCAACAACAGCCTCAGGATCTTCTTATCTACCTGTGTTCACTGCATACCCTGGATACAGGCAGCAGTTATCACTGTAAGTTGATTAAACCAAGATGCTCTGTCTGAAGCGGCACTGTAGAGGTGTAAAGCTGCTCATTTTGTGTGTGTGTGTGTGTTTTTAACTGGTTATTACAGTCAGTCAGTTTAGCCAAGTGACCAGTTTTAGCAATATAAGTCTGTTCTAGTGAGAGCTGTGATGTGACCTACCATAGAGAGCTGTCCATGTCTGGTTGATGACATCTAAACACACAGTTCCTGACCTGAAAAAAGACAGCACACAGCACTGTGACTGATAGAGGAGTCCAGCAGAGACGTAAAAACAGAAGTTTGCAAAGTTGTAGGTAAAGTTATCTAGAAAAAAACATCTGCATTTCCTATATGCTGAACATGAACGTCTGCACTTATGAAAGCATCTATATGCGGCAGTCAGGTTGTTGCATGCTACTACATGCAAACAACTACTATAGACTCAGTTTAAAGTGGTCCTACTTACGCTTCATCAATGTTGGGATGAAAGATTTTATTCATGAACCCTGTAAAAATAAAAAACAAGGGTGGGGTTGAATTACTCTGGTGTCCACTCTCCGACAGTACTGCTTGATAAGGTGAGAACTGCAATTACAACATCCTCTAGTTACAACATTTATAAAGACTAGCACAACATCTGAACACTTGTATGAACAATTCATACCTATTGATGGTGATTTGAAGGGATATTTATCTGGCAGGTCCACCCGAACCTTCCACACACCTCCTTCATACGGTGCTGAACAAATAAGACAAAACAAACACATCATTGACTGAAACTGTTGCTGAAGAAATCAGACACTGGGGGAAATTTGCTTCATCCTCTTCTTTCCAAGAGTTAGATGAGACTGATACAACTCTCATATTTGTGGGTGAAATCTGAAGCTATGCTAAGCTAAGCTGCTGCTGTTCGTTATACCTTCATGCTGCTAAACATGGGGGAGAATCTGTGAATTTTTGGAGGCTCTTACTTCCAGGTGGTCCGTGGAATTTGACCACAAACTCATTGAGTCCACTGAGGATGGTGACCTCGTGCTTGCTCTCGATACTGACATTTGGTTAAGGAAAAGACACAGCCAACAAAAGAAAGCAAAGAATTCCAACATCAGACATACAGTATTTTCTACAGCACTTCATCAAATACAGACTGAGCTGCTGTGTCTAAATGTTTAGGTTCACTAGACTGCCTCACTCTCTGTGAACTTGTCTAGGCAGAGGTCAAACATAGGATCAATAACATGAGCCACGGCAGTGAGATCAATAATGCAATAAGTAGCTGCTGGCTGACAAGCTCAGCCAACAGACAGCAAAGTCTCCTTAATAACCAAACAACCTCACAATGAGTCAGGACAGAATAAACTCTTTTTTAAAACAAGAAGAAACTCTGTAGAAAGTCTATCAACTATCACATACTGGGAGGCTCAGTGCATTAAACGTAACCTGCTGTCTTCAGCTGTTTAAGTTGTAAAGAAGACCGATAAGAACTCTTTTTATAGGTAAGCACAGCTGGAGAAGATGACAACTTGGGTGGGTAGGATGTCATACTCATAAGCGTGCAGTGATGGCTAGAGACGTGACACTGAGTCAACTGTCTGACAGCAATGCAGAAAGGTTAAGTGTATTCAGACAACGACGACGACTGTGTGAGTTTGACACAATGACAAGTAGAGAAAGAAAACACATACCAAAACAGCACAAAGAAACTTTTACACCCTGTTTCACCATCCTGCCATTAAACCTACTGTCATCTCGATCCCAGCAAGCTAACCAAGGTGACGTGGGGACACTAATTTAGCCACAAGTAATAATGCTAGATTAGCTTGATTACATAACTGTCAGGCAGAGAGATGACTGTAAACTTCTACCAAAGAAGATGATTTAAAAGTCTCAGTCACTCAGTAGAAAAGGCTTGACTCACTCTAAATGTGATCTGAGGCAATGGCTCCTATAAATAAAAGCTGCTATACATGTAGACTAGTGCAGTAAAAATGTGCATCTCTGTTGTATGCCTTTCCCTTAGGGTTACCCATAGAGACCCCAGCATATGCTCACTCAGGAGTCACGTAAATACACAGGGGAAAACCTTATTTTGACAAAGGCTAACAGGCCACTGTGTTTAATCACCATTATCTTCCAATACAAATAAGTGTTTTGCTGATTAACAGGTTTATAGGTCTAGCTGTTGTGACATTAGCTCTTATCTCATTTGTGGAATTAAACGGTGCACTTAATATGCTCTACTGACCAACAGCAAAGTATATGGTAATCCACTAGTCCAGCCCCATGTGTTGGACATGTAGTGATGTTTTTAAGGACAGTAAAAAATAATCTGAGAGCAGCAGTTTTTGGTTCAATTTAACACATCTGGTCGAAAGCCATGACACAATGTATGACACCATCTGTTAAACACTGGTGCTACACTCAAGTCTGGAAAGTGTTAGAACAGGATCCACAAAAACAAGATCAGAAGGACCAGAAATAAGTGTTTTTCACTTCAACATGTTATGCCTTCCATTTTACTCTGACTATTGATCCAAAAATAAAAACATAACATAGGGTTTGATACTATCTATTCCGATATTTTTTTTATCGATGTTTTCTAATAATATCAATGAAAAACAAAAACAAATTTTTTGTTTGTCTATATATATGACTGTACATTCTGGCCATGGTAAAAATGTGAGTTAGCACTACCTTTATAAAATACTGTATATGTAACATACATAAATGAATGTAGGAATAACAATTTACCTGGCCATCATTAAATAGAACTTAACAAACGTCCTTCATATAAATGAGTCATTAACAATAGATTCTGTGACTGGTTAGAATGGAGATTATATTAAATAAGAAAAAATAAGAAATAAATATATGTTCAATTGGCAGATTGATAAAAGTGAATTGTGGAATCGCTGATTGTACACAGTTTATTACAAAGGACTAAACCCACTATGCATGTTGTCAGTAGGGCTGCAACTAGGGTTATTTTCATTCTCAATTTTTTTAAATTAAACAATCAATACTTTAGTCTATAAATGGTTAGAACAGCGTAAAATTCTCATCAAACCTTTCCAGAACCCAAGTTGGCATCTTTATGTCTTGTTTTGTCTGATCAACAGTCAAAAGATAGTAGTTAAAAAAAGGCACAAACCCAGAAATCTTAAAACTTCAGATCATGTTTTTGTTAACATCTTTGCTTTATAAAAGACAAACTACCGTACATTTTCTATTTATCAACTAATCGGTTAATCAAGTGATTGTCTCAGCACTAGTTGTGTGTCTGTTCTAAAGGTCCTGTTAGGGTGAAAACAACATGTTCACCCATAGTGAGTAGACCTGTCCCTGCCATGGACTGGATGCTCCCAGCCCCCATCCCTGCATGTGCCTGGACAGCACGCTTGTTGTTCCTCGATCAGCTGTGTGTGAAGCCCCGCCCTCTACCATGTTCCGGATGGTAACAGGGTGGCCAATCAGAGAACAGTCTGTAGCTGCAGGACAAAAACAAAACAATTCAGCTCACGCTGCCAGAAAACCTTTCATGCAAACTTCGGCAAGTAACTGAAATTAATGAACACCAGAAATAAATACGCACAGGTAGACTACACCAGTCAGCTGCCAGTGCGTTAAACATAAGATATGAAACCTCAAAGAGAGTAAGGTTATCAAGAACAAACATATTATTAAAAAGGACAAAAACATCCGCTCGCGTTTTTCTCTTCAGCATCGTTTAAGATGAAGGGTATTCTCCACTTCTTCACAGAATAGTCCAATATCTGGTGAACACACCAATGCGTGAATATATCTTAGGTTTATCTTATTCAATTTGCAAGATTATTTGTACTGAGGCACCAGTTTTAAAAAGCACAAGTCAAAGCCTGGTGTCACTTCTCTAAGGTTAATACATGTAACGTTAGTCGACTCTGTGTTTGTGATTTGTCAAAGATCGCCCGTTAGGCTACGTCGATTTGTTCTCTTGGTATTAACACTAATGTTGCACAGCCAGCCAGCTAGCTTACCCTTACCAGCTAAAACATGAAGAAATAAAGTGTCTTTCCATAGAAGCGTTTCCTTAATGTATAAATGTCCTCTCTCACCACTCACGGTGTGTTGTCAGTCTGATGGGGGCCACATATTATTGGCTAAAGGCTAACATAACGCTGTCAAGCTAAGGCTAACCATTTTCAAAGCTAATACAGTTGACAGCCAATGTTATATTGCGACAGATTCTGTGGCGGCTTCTCTATAGATACAGACATGAAGAGCACTGATAGTGAATTGGCAAGCTAACGCAGGCTAACACCAATGGTTCACACACACAATAACGTTAAAAATGTGTAGCTTCCTCGCCATTCTGCTAACTTAACAGTGAGCTAGCTAACGTATGCCAACCTGCAGCCACAGAGCTATCCATTAACATCAAAGTGTTTACACGCGTTTCATAAAAGATGTTAATATCACATAGCAAGTAGTCACACAACATACAGCCTTACATTAGCCATCGGAAACAAATGGTGTAATCAATCAACATTAGAGAACTGACAGTTATTATAAAACAAGATATGTCTATTTGAATTGGCTATTCAGGCTAATTTACGTTCTGGAAAGGATACAGTTTAACCACGTCGGTATCCATTCGCCTCTTGCCCGGACTTGGAGACGACATTTTTGTATTCCTTACAGAAGTGATCTAAAAATACTGCGGCGATTATGCTACCTCAGCTTTTCAACTAGAAAATACCTGTAAGCCCTCTGGACTGTATCAACAGCCTTCCCACAATGTACATAAGCAAGCTGCTAGCCGCAACATCGCCCACTTCTCCTCTCAGCAGATCTTCCGTGTGCTCTGTGCGGCCAGCTCTGCCTACTTGTGTCCTGTCCAGATCTGCCAGTGGAATCAACCTCCAGCGACACAGACTGACGAGAGGAGGGGCTCGGGTATAGACATTGGTGACACAGAACACAACTACAGTGTTGGTACTTCTTCGTGAATTGGATTATACTACTGCTGTGTGCGTTTCTACGAAGATGGAAGTTGTCATTTACACATAAAATGTACTTCTGGTGTGCTGTTCTTCAGGCTTCTCAGACAGTGCTAAAAGAAAAGGTGTCTGCTGGTCTATCGCGCATGGATCTACGATAAAATTAGGTTATTGAAAGGCTGAAACAAAAACACATGAGGCCGAAGTTATTTGTCTTCGGCCCCTTGGTGTCTCTGAATTTGTGCAACAGTATTCCATAACACTAAAAATGCGTTGCTTTAGTCTACTCCCATATATTTACAATTATGCATGGATTACTAAACAGGACTATTGGGCATTGGTCCAGGGGCTCAAGAATTCAGGGGGTCCCTGGGCCTTTGCCTCTGTTCGAAGTGAGTGTTCTTGTTGTTGACTTGACCAAGACACAAACCTACTACAAAAACTAGTAAAATGACAAAACAGATGCAGAGAGACACATGCACAAAGAGAGGCATAACAACCACACAGTCACAAAACACACAAAATGCCTACAAAAAGGTGCAAAGATAGTTTAAGGTCACAGAGAGACATAAAATGACGGCAAATATAAAATAAAATGGCCACTGATATAATGTTTATAGTCATTTTTAATCTCTTTCAGTCTGAGGCTCTTGCTTAATTGCAGGGAGGGTGGTAAATCCATCTATGAATACAGTTAAACATATTGCACATATATGAAGCTAAATTTGTAAATACATATAAATAAATGCTGCCAGTTCATCTAAAAATCATTATAATGTTATTGTGCTTTGCTTGCTTAATATTGCAGTCGTGTTATTGCTCTGAAGGCTGTGTTCAGCAGTATTTTCACAGGCCAGGCCAGGGCATTGACTGTGAGCCGAGATCCATCCATGGAGTTTGAAAGTTTCAGTGAAAGAGATGACGGCAGAAATATTTCACAGTTTCAGTATTGCTAAAACAAAGATAAGATCAGCCTAACAAAAAAAAGAAGAAGGTCTTTTTTCAGATGAACAGACAGGATGAGGGGGTGAATGTGTAGAAATCAGTTTGATCTGGCCCAAACTAAGATTAAGCAGGAGCTAGGGTTCAAAGAAACCCTCACAGTCTGATTAAATCTTTAAGTACAATTCCCACTGTATCATCAGTATATTGATTACACTCATAATGTGTCATACTTACTCTCAGATCTTGTTCTGCTCCTACAAATCTATCCATGCATGCTTTCAAATCTTTACTTGTAGAATAATTAGTGCTCATATCTGTTTTTGTTTTTTTTTGTTAATCAGTTGCTTTATCTTTGATAAACCTGAAAACAGCCTTTTGTACTGCCATGAGCAAATCATGTCAGCTATATAGATAGAGTATTCAAACTGAGGTAGAGTTTGATTTACTACACAATGAACAGTATTGCTCTGTTCATCCTGGAAACTACAAGGCCGGTAACAAAGAAATAGAACCAGGCTTTACTGAACTTCATATAGGCAACACCACCTACAGTGATGCAATGCACTGACATTTGTTATACCGCTCCAGTGTGCAGAGTACTGATGCTTCCTAAACATGGAGAAGTGCTAAACTCTTACTCTATCTGAGACATAAAACGACTGCTTCTTAAACTTGCACAATGCGCCATCATTAAGCCCTTTCCCCTATTGATGTGACATTCCAGTATATGTTTAGCATGGCAGATTAAAACTTGCATTGCCAGCATCATTTAGAGTACAATCATTTGGTTATTTATTTTGATCTTGTCATGCATAAACAAACAAAAAAAGCATGAATATAGTGAATCCA